CTCGCTACTGAGCGAATCGAGACCGACCTCCCCTTTGTCCAAAAACGCTTTATTACCTACTACTGTAATATAAACTCTTTGTAATTAAAAATTATTTTCTACTTTTTAGTTCGATTAGCTATAAAAGTGTGTTTCTTTAAACTATTAATTATTTTTCTTTTTTTAGTTCGATTTATCATATTTGTGGACATGTGGTACCTATTCAAATGTACTACGACTCATTTCGTAATCTAATCATTTCATTTAAAGCTTCACTGTTGCATGATGTTCTTCCTGTTAATTTAGAGCAATCAAGTTCTTCAATCCGAACACCGTCTAACGATCTTACGCGACTAAATCCTACATAAGGTTGTCGAGCAACGAACAGTCGCGAGCCTAGATAAATGACTGCATGATCGACTGTACAACCTTGCATCTTGTGGACGGTCTAAGCCCAACTCATGATTAAGGGCAACATTCGTCCCTCAGCAGTTCCATAGCTGTATTTCGCTGGGAACTGTATCGATATCGGTTTAATCATGTGCACATCATCTGAACCGAAATCGATACGGACATACGGCATGTCGTCCGCGTAGTAAATCGCGCGTATTAGACTCATTAGTACCTATGCATATACAGGGTGACTTCGAAGTTGAGTCATTTATTTTAACAGTGAGTAGATCTGATCAAGAGAAATGTTATTTTCCTTAACCATTTTTCTGGTAAAATTAAAGTAACAAAGTTATAGCCCTTTGGAAGTTTTAGTACCGCCCTGTCTCAATAATAATATTATGTGCTCGTGTTTGTCGACAACGGATATAATCCGCCGTATCGGTTCATCGCATCGGAAACAAAAAAGCGAAAGAATTTGGAACGATGTTTTTACAATTATTTTATTCATTTGTATACAGTCAGTGTCAGTGAATGGTGGTGTCTGTTGCGTGGCTCAAACGAAATAAAAAATGGCACATGTTAATGCGGATCGGTTTCCCAATCGAGTGCAACCAACCCCTCGTGCCTTTGTTAATGTAGTACAACGGGCTCGTGAATCAGGTGACTTAAGACCTCACAGGAGAGGGCATGCCGGTGCTCCAAGACCTCACCATCAAATACAGGTCCGCACTGAAATACTTATTGGGAGGATACTTTATAAAACAAAGTAAAATTTTTTTTTTATTTTTACACACATATTTTGGTTTATCTTCCTTCTACAATCATTATCTGAAAATTAATTACTCAACTTCAAAGTCACCCTGTATAAGGAATGAATAAGGTGAGAATGCACTACTTCGAAAAAATATCTGCCTTCGCTGTGCTGTGCCGAGTGTCTTAACCAACAAAGAGTAAGTCCTAAACTGCACGCATGCGCAGATCGCGCGCTAGCTCTATCTCTCGTACTCCTCCACAGAGGATCTATAAAGGAATTTATCAATGCTGGCGATCCTCATAAGGATAATGGACTGTTATCGAATTATTGCATTTTCATCGGTCCTTGATAGGTGTGCGAAGTTTTGAATTAATCAATCTTCCGGAAGTTTGTGAAAATTGTGTTCAAAGATTGCATACATACACGCCGAGCTTATAAAAGCGTGTTAAAAATGATCCGCCATATCCAGGTGTTCATCCCACAGTATCTATAAAGGCACATTTCCACCACATGTTGGGAACAAGCGCCGCGACGGGTACAAAAGTGTTTTTATTTCTTTGAATTTATACAAAAAGTTTAAGAATCGAACTTGACTATAGACTAATTTTGATAAGCTGGCGAATACACTGACAAGCCGATAAGTTTTCTTGGTAATGTAGAGGACTATTTTCATTGGTGCTCACTGGCATAGGTGAACAAAGAATTTTCAATGTTCCTCCCTGCATTCCCCTGGTGTGTGCTATAAAACGTTGAAAAGTTCGTCTGGTCAACAGCCAACGTGCTGAAGCCAAGAGATCAGTTGGAGTATAACAGAATAGCTTCCTAGGATGATAAATTGTGAACTGCTGATGTCAGAAAATAGATCGTTTGAGCAGAATTTAAGGAAATTGCCTATACCTGTTAACCTTAATATTCGACATTATTTCCCGAGTAATCCATTCGATCTTTAATAGTTGTACTACTAGCAATCGGGGGAGGGTAGCCTAGCAAATCGACCATCTTTGGCCCTTTTTATCAACTCCTCTGTTTAAGCTCTACTCCACATGGTTATCCATTTTTATCTATCAAACCTTTCTGATCTGCTAATAAAGGTCAGAATGTACGACCAGTCCGCTAAGTATGCTATTTAACTATTGAATTCCGTAGCTCCGAACACCTGAGCTTTTAGACTGCTATATACGGGGCAAAAGCCTATAAAGTGGAACACTGTCTCGCCCTTCCCCAGCACATGAATCTTTTTTCAGCCTTAGAAGTGATAAGTGACCGTTCAGACTACAGTGGCCTATGAGAACACCCATCGAGACATTTGTTCAGTAGTCGGCACATCCGACATTTGTCGAAGCCAGCTATGAACCTCTTGACCTTCCAGCAATCATCCTTATCTCTCTTCACTAGTTCGAGGTCCCTATACACCTCCGTAGAATCTTTACTCCTGGCATTGTTTAATGCATTCTACCTAAAGATAGCCATCCGTTTACTGTATTCGGACATCAAAAAAAGGTTCTGAAAGATACTAGCGCCATCTATGAAACAGCAGACCACAAAAATAAATTCTACTTGGTTTGGGCGTGTAAAACGGATGAACGCGGATGCTGACGAGATGACATTGATCAAGCGATGAACACTAGGAACTTAGAGGAAGACGAGGTTTTTGATAGGAAAAGATGGAAATTATGGACGGATAATCCATTATATATACAGGGTGACTTTGAAGTTGAGTCATTAATTTTCAGATAATGATTGTAGAAGGAAGATAAACCAAAATATGTGTGTAAAAATAAAAAAAATTTAAAAAAATGTTACCTTGTTTTATAAAGTATCCTCCCGTGCGGACCTGTATTTGATCGTGCGGTCTTGGAGCACCGGCATGCCCTCCATTGTGAGGTCTTAAGTCACCTGATTCACGAGCCTTTGTACTACATTAACAAAGGCACGAGGGGTTGGTTGCACTCGACTGGGAAACCGATACCCATAAATCCGTGATGCCGCGTAAATAAGAATCATGTCCACAAGTTCAGCATTTTTGTAAGCATGTGCCATTTTTTATTTCGTTTGAGCCACGCAACAGACACCACTATTCACTCACGCGTTGCCGACTGACACTGACTGTATACAACTGAATAAAATAATTGTAAAAACATCGTTCCAAATTATTTCGCTTTTTTGTTTCCGATGCGATGAACCGATAAGGCGGATTATATCCGTTGTTGCCAAACACTAGCACATAATATTATTATTGAGACAGGGCGGTACTCAAACTTCCAAAGGGCTATAACTTTGTTACTTTAATTTTACCAGAAAAATGGTAAAGGAAAAAAACATTTCTTTTGATCAGATCTACTCACTGTTAAAATAAATGACTCAACTTCGAAGTCACCCTGTAGAAAATGGACACCTCAACAATGGTATGCAATACAGTGATAAGGCCCGATTCGAAGTTTGTGTTCGTGACAGTCGCAGTAGAGTTATTCGCAAGCATTCCATGTTTACTGTCTGAAGAGAAGAGTGAAATTTCCAGCATCCATCGGTCTGGGGAAGTATGTCATCAAAAGGAGTAGGAAAACTTCATTTTATTGATGGAAATGTGGATACAAACAAATATTTGGCTATTTTAGAAGAATCGCTTTTACCAGTGGTGGAAGAATAAAATGGATGGAAGAAAATAATGTACCACTTTTGAAATGGGTTTGTAGCAGTCCAGATCTGTCACCTATTGAAACTTTGTGGCACGAGATGAAAAAGGTTCTACGACAACATCCTGCTCGTACAATTACCGAACTGAGACAAAAGCTTCAAGAAATATGGGATTGTTTTACACCAAATTTTTGCCAAAGAATTTCAGCCGAAATAAAAAATAAAGGTGATGTTACCCAATGGTAATCTTTCAATTGTTGCTTTGTTAACTTCGCGCATTTATTCGCACATTGTTTATTTGTTCAGATGTTCTATTAGTTATAGGTCTAAGTGATTTCAAATATGTATTTTTTACGACTAGAGTGTATCTAAAATGTTTTTGAGAAAATAAATTGTTTTAGAAGTAAATAGTTTCGTCATGTTTAGTTTATAAAAGCATATTTTGGTACAAATCTTGAAGTGGGCCAACTGAAGTGGGAAGGGGCTCGTATATACAGGGTGGCCCATCCAAGTGTGGACGGAATATCACTCATAAACAAATACATTTTGAGAAAATCTATTTATGGGCTGTGATACATGACATTTGAGGGCATATTTCTAAATTATTGGCCATTATACAGGGTGTCTCAATTTTGACCTACATATCAAAGTTGTGATTTTTCAAACGGAATGCCCCAAATTTTATTGGATATTTGGATAAACCATTTCAAAATAAGAAAATTGATAAAGCATACTATGGGGTTTTGGTAAGTAGCTACTAAGATATAAGGTGTTTTGTCTATAAAAACCTCCCCACTTCGGCAACCCCTCAGTCCGCCATTTTGAAATTTGGAGGGCTGAATTTTGTATAAAAAAAAACTTACACACCTCAGCTTTTGTCTAATTTGTTAGTTTTTTTATTGTAATTTTTGCTCATACAGGGTGGTCAAAAACGCGAATTGTACTTTTTCTCAAAAATTTCACATGTATCACCCTGTATATTTGTGCAAGTTTTTATTTAATTTTTTATAAGCTTTTTTTATACTAGACATATAAGGGTTTTTACGGCTATTTTTTCGGTTATTCTTTTATGGAACGGCTTAATTCCCTAAAATATCGCATCATCCTTGGACTAGTTACAAGCTGTCTAAATTAGGTTACTCAGTATATTAAAATAATTGTGCAACGACAGATGTCATTTCAGTTTGTGGCATACTGCCATTTTGCAACAACTGTGACGTTCAATCTTGCTAGCCCGTACCTACTCGTCCTGTACTATAGCTGATTTGCCTGGCTGTGTTTCCGGCGACAACCGGCCGGCGCTCGTCTGCTCGATGAACGTCGACGTCACCATACCCGCCGTCGTGACGCCCGGCATCCCGACGCTCAGAGCAACAGTTGACGCGGTCTCGGACTGGAGCCAAGGGCACTGGCCTTCGCCTTCCCGATGCATCGAATTAGCGCTTAACTTAGAGATAGCCGATATCGTAATTTTGATTATATGTGATCACGACTTTCGAATAACGATGATATTATGGGTATACTGATATAAAACTGATATAAAACCGCATGGAACCAAATATCGTTGAACGTTGAACGTTGAACACACAAATTAAATCTTTAATTTAATTGAGATTTGCCTATAAAACACATAAATCTGGCATCTGATCAGGTGGTCAATGTCCTCCTGTGGTATCTCATTCCAGGCAACCACCAACTTCTCTCGAAGTGCTTCTAGAGTCTGAGGAGGACGTTGCAAATTGAGCAATCTCCTACCCATCATATCCCACACGTGCTCAATTGGGGATAAGTCGGGAGATCTTGGTGGCCATGGTAACAATGCGACATCATTATGTTGAAAGAAGTCTATTGTGACTCTTGCAACATGTGGTCGGGCATTATCTTGTTGGAAAGTTGGATCTGCCAGGGTGTCGAGATAGGTTAAAAGATGGGGTTCTAGAACTTCGTGGATATAACGCTGCGCGTTCATGTTACCTCTGATGAAGATTAAAGGTGACCTGGAACCTTAAGCTATAGCACCCCAAACCATAACTCCAACAGTGTGATGAACATGTCTTTCAACAAAAAACTGTGGATTCCTCCTTTCACCACGTCGCCTTCTAACCCTGGCACGACCATCGTGCATGCCTAAACAAAATCGAGACTCGTCACTAAAGACAATACTGTTCCATTCCTGATCCCAGAGTGACCGTTGTCTGCACCACTCAAGGCGATTACGTCGGTGTTCTCGAGTTAAAGGGAGGACCCAGTGTGGCCGGTATGAAAACAAGCCAAAACTTCTCATTCGTCGGTAAACACTTCGCATGCCAATAGGTCTTCCGTGTTCTGCAAACCATTCATTTGCAATGGACCAGGTTGTGATGAACAGCATGAATGTTGCAGTTAATCCCGCAGGTGTTCGTAAAACAAATTTTATCTTTGATGTTGTTCCCATAAACCACGACCAGAGACTTGGAAGGAAAAATCCACGTTTTGTCATTAGTACTGTCACCACGGGGCGGTCACCCTGTCGCAAGAAGATTTAAGTGTCTGGAAGCAAATAAATATGCATTAACTTCAAGTAAAGGTAGATCAGATGTGACGACATAGACCCACGCTTTCAGAATTAGCAAATACAACTTGTAGATTTTTAATTGAGACTTTCCATTACCTATACACATAATAACAACTATTCACGTATGGCCCAGAAGTCTTACTAGTCGGGATATAGTTATTCATTCAAATTAGACAGCACTAAGTGCCATCTATTACCAGAATCGACCACTACAAGAGTGGCCTTAATCTTGAAGTAAGGTGACCTTGAAATTGTAAATGTCCTTGACCTTGAAGTCGGTAAGGTAGAGAGGGGATAACCTTTAAATATATGAAGAAACGGAAAATCAGTAGTTAGTAGACAATGAGTACAGCGCAGTACATAAGCAAGTGACAATAAGTGACCCTTCCCGAAATTTGAAATCTTGGCATTTTTATCCAAAATTGGAGCACAATTTTTTATATGGTTTGCGTCTTTGTGGGCTTCATTGTGGATTTGAAGTAGGAAATGTTGCGAACATGCGCTCTCATAAAAAATACTTAATTAAATATTGGTGAATTTCGGACAAAAATGCCAAAATTACGAACAACCGTTTTTTAAAGAACAGTCAAGTACTAAAACAAATAGAAAAACACTGATTAAAATTACATCCTAAGCCTTTCACCATATTTTCCATACTTATATTTCGCGTATTTTTTTGTTTAATAACCGTTCTTTTCATGACCCATTTTTAAAGGAAGCGAGAGAATATTTCAATGGAAACGTTTTTCTGTAATTTACAGTTCGTTCTTCAAGTACGTCAAATTTCTCTTCGACCTTTTCCATGAGCCGTAATTGCATACCCACGTTGTAATTACCTTGCAAGCTACATGCCCAATGTTTGCTTTTGCTAGAACATTGCCTAATTATCGGCATGTGTTTTCCTGTACGTACGTGCTTAGAAATTTTACACCAAAGGGAGGAAAGGTCGCTTCACTTAATGTGCCTACACATAGACGCCCAGTCATGAGTCAAATCAATCAGCACTTATCGACGTATATGCTAATAAAACCGTAGTAGAAAAAATTGCGTCAAGTAGGTTGATTCTGCATTATATGTGAAGGTTATGTTTTGATCGATGCCTTGGATCGTGTTTGTGATAAAATGATCCCTCTCCGAATATATGAAACGATCCCTGGAATACTATTACCCCTTAAGTATTTTTCATTTTTATCAACGCCAAAATTGGACTGAGGAACAAATGCTAAATGCTCTAAATACCATCAAAGATGGCGTGTTTTATAAATCCGCAAGTAGAGAATCATCTGTACCTGTAATGGCATTAAAAAGAAAAACTGAAGGCAAAAATAAAATAGCGCCAGGACCCACTAAAATTTTAAGTAAAAGACGCCGTCGAACCTCAACAGAAAGCGTGCGAATATCTCAACCTCCAACGAATATTTTCATTTAACATATCAGCTTTCACCGTAAGCAAATAGGCAGGAGCCTTTGAATAAAACACTTCAACCTTCGTCGCAAGAGTTTATTCTGAGATCTCCACGAGTACCATAGGCATCGCATCAAGTACCTATGCAAGAATATCCACCTGAAATGCTTTTACCAGAAAAAACTAAGAAATAATTCGTCTCTGGCATAAACAATTAGCTTTTACATAAACTATTAAACCGATCTGGCTGAAATCAGGCATACATATTAACACGAATAATACCCTCATTCTTACACATTTTTAGCCCTTCTCAATTGTTATTGCAATAGTTATGAACATTTATTCGATATTGCTAAAAAGCCCCGTATTTAGCTTAATTGTTTAACGATTTTAATTGTTAAAGAATAAAATTGAAGGTCTTTTTATGCTCTGAAATTTTCGGTTTACCGATTATTAATAGAATTCAATTTGAAAATTATACAAGCACAATACTTAATCTTTAACTTTTCTCATTGTTTATAAAAAACGCATATCTGGCCTGGCTTTACCTTTTTATGTATTTGTCATTAGAAATACATTCAAAGCTTTTAGATATCTGCTAAACTTTTTTGCACGAAATACCTATTTTAGGTCTCTGTACCCTGTGGTACTATATCCGAGTTCTTCCATCGTGCTTGTATTTTCCGCTATTATCCTTTACACGCATAGGCAACACGTTATACAAAAGAACGAATAAAATGCCAGTATACCCCAATTGCTTTTCGTGTATTTTCTACACTACAAAAGTAAGGATGTTCGTGGGAGATCCTCCTTTTTACCCCAACCCTAATAACTAGGAATTTTTATAGAATTTTGAGAGCACATGCATGTATTTCTGTTGCAAGCTTTTTAAAAAGTTGTTTGAAATATACTAAGTGACATATAAATCCGAACATAGAGTTTAAATGGTTTTATTTTAATAAAATTTTGTATAAGTACCTAATGAAGCATAATAAGTAAATGATAAAAATTTCAAAATGATTGCACTGCTTTAAAGCCCTTTGACCTTTAATAATGTGTGGATGCACCCTGATGTGCTACGCATTCTCCAACGCGCCTAGGCATGCTTCTGATCAGGTGGTCAATGTCCTCCTGTGGTATCTCATTTCAGGCAACCACCAACTCCTCTCGAAGTGCTTCTAGAGTCTGAGGAGGACGTTGCAAATTGAGCAATCTCCTACCCATCATATCCCACACGTGCTCAATAGGGGATAAGTCGGGAGATCTTGGTGGCCATGGTAACAATGTGACATCATTATGTTGAAAGAAGTCTATTGTGACTCTTGCAACATGTGGTCGGGCATTATCTTGTTGGAAAGTTGGATCTGCCAGGGTGTCAAGATAGGGTAAAAGATGGGGTTCTAGAACTTCGTGGATATAACGCTGCGCGTTCATGTTATCTCTGATGAAGAGATTAAAGGTGACCTGGAACCATAAGCTATAACACCCCAAACCATAACTCCAACAGTGTGATGAACATGTCTTTCAACAAAAAACTGTGGATTCCTCCTTTCACCACGTCACCTTCTAACCCTGGCACGACCATCGTGCATGCCTAAACAAAATCGAGACTCGTCACTAAAGACAATACTGTTCCATTCCTGATCCCAGAGTGATTTTATATTTTATGGTTATAAAGTACTACTTAAATTTTTCAATTCCTACTTTTTTGCTAAAACATAGTATTCATGTAACTGATATTTCGAGATTGAGTAAGTGTCTTTTTTAAATACTTTATTTCCAATATTACAGCAACTGAATTACAAAACGTCAAGTAAAATTTTCGTTTGAATGATAAGACTTAACACTTCTTGCGATTTCTAGATGTTGACCTGTATCTTCTATTTTCTAGCTTGTTACAGAGTAGCCCTGTTCCTTGGATCAATTTCATTACCTAAACTTTAATCGCCCTGCTTGACCCGTTCAAAAAATATTTCTTGTAAGTATCTATTTCTGCAGATTATAGAAAAATCTTCAAAAACGTAATACCGATATAAAAAATGCAACCAAGGTGCTAATCTTATATGATGATTGCACAATTCAAATAAATTGATAGCTTTAGAATCCTAACTACATATCATCATCCTGCATATCTTGTCACTATTATTTTTCGAGTTATACCGGGTCATCAGGAATAAGACAGCTTCAACAATATACCCAGAAATATCTGTGGACGATCATGGAAAACTCATCGATGCCTTTTTATTTTTAATGTACACGGACGTTTAAAGAAACGACTTAATCCAGTTTTCTGTTCTGTTTCTAGAATTACTGCAAGCAGTTTTTCAATATCTGTGGATGGGTTTCAAAGTTAAATCAACCTTTAGGGATTAAAAAACCTATTAAACATTGTATAGAAGCACAGCATTCTATAATTTCGCTGTTTGTTGTACTCGTATATGCGCCGAAAACGTACAATTGGTAATCGAAAAGAATGTGACAGTAGTTGAAATGTTAAAAAACAAGGCAAGTATAATTATGTCACAAAAACCGAAATCGCGAGTAGTTAATTAATGATATCGAGCTACGAAAACCGTAAATCATAGCATAGAGTATTCGAAATTAAGTTGACACAAGTAGGTGTGCTATTTTTTAGACAGTACCCTCGCAGCTATTATTTGAACGTTTTGAATCAGTAAGTTGAAATTCGAATGATCAAATTGATGAATGAAAACTATACAATGTGTTTGGTCACGACACACCGATATTTGAGGGGGAGATTTATCAGCTATTTTTATCGACAAATCCACCCCGTACAATGTCCTACCTCTCCATCCTTGAAATGGATCTATACCGCTGCGAATGAAATTAGGGCAGACACGGATATGGTCTGCCGCTCAACAAACACATTTTTTTAAGGACAACAATGTGCATAACCAATAATGGAGGACATTTTAAACAGCTTCTGTAACATTAAAGATGTCCAAGCTCTCTATAAGAAACATTGATTTGTCATTTTTATGTATGGAGAGTTTGAAAACAATTTGCATTTTATTACACCCTTCTTGACCTATGTTAGATAGCATTTATTGTTTAACGTAGAATACTTAGGAAAACAAAAAGCTGTAGAATTAGCACAAAAGAAGTACAACTTCACAGACTAGTTTTTTAATGGTGTGCGGAAATGCACAAAATAATCAATTTTCTTCCATATTTTTTTCTGTTTTTAAGTATGTTTGACGGCTAGTATCAAAACAAGGACCAGATGTCATCGTTCAAATGACACCAAATTTATCATTCTTTGACACTTACGTACTTAGTTATTGCAATTTTCAGACATGCACTACCGTAATCGTAACGTAAAAATATAAATGGCTGCCATTTCAAGGGGGATGTGGTAGGACATTGTAGGGAGGTGGATTTGTCGATAAAAATAGCTGAAAAATACCCCTCTTAAATATTAGTATGTCGTGACCAAACACATATACACCTATTAGCGCAAAAGCAACATTCCAAATATTAAAGACGGTATTTTCGAGTTAGAAACTACTGATAAGGAGCTTCATAACGGCGTTTCAGGTAGGACTCCACTGTCTGCCCGAATCAAACCACCAATTTCCGTTAATTGTACGACGTTTCTGCTACTACGGTCTTTTGAAATTCAATGGGAATCATCGTTTTTTTTTTATACCGAAGCATCCGCGCAGGCGATAGTATACTTTATTTATCTGTCTTCCAGCCCAACTAACAATTATCACTCCTATTAGAGTTGCAAGAATGATTATACAGTATTCCTTAAACAGCATTGTATACTGTAAGAACATTGGCAAAACCCTCTTAGAACTGCCATACAAGCGGAATGGGCACACCTAATATGACACTTCAGTCATTTAAGAGGTTGTATAAGGGCTGCAGGTAACAGTTATACAACAAAAGTGTAAGCCTCTTGCAGCGGCTATAGAACATTTGCGTCAGTACATGCTTCAGTTTTTGTCAACTATACAACTATTCGGTTACGTGATTCTACTTTATTGCAACCAAACTATTTCTTATGTATTGTATAGACGAAAAAGAATATATAACTAACACATTACAGTCATCTTGTTTACTTACATATCGGCCATTGTGAATTTCATACACAGGTATATGATAAACTTCTACACTGTGATATAGGGATATTGAATTACTTGCACAGCAAATTTTATTGTGATTATCGTGCAAATTAGTTACGCAATTTCTACGGGCTTCGTATTTGATTCATATTTTGATAATGATCAAAAGAATGTCTAGATTTTTAAGATGGAAAACTGAACTTATCTGCGTTAAATCTTCCACAAATCCTATATTTAGACGCAATTACACTAATGTTTATCACTTTATATCTGTCATTTCGAACTGAAACATAATTATTTAATATTAAATGGAGGAATAAATGTTTGTTATGTCAATCTAAGTTAGTTTTGACAAAATATCGTTCTTGCTGTTTTGTATCATATGTGTGATATGATATTTTCTGCGGTACCTGGTATGTTTACATCTACCCCAATAATTATGCACGTCAAAACCTGCAATTTTCAGCTAAACTCTATACTAACCATTTTCACAGTTGACTTCATCTGCGGTCAACAAAAAAATGCGAGTATATTAAGATTTACACTTCCAAAAAAATCTTTCATTTGCCATGGTTTGCCTGAGTGAATGTGACTTTAACGAGGACGATATGACATTTGAAGATTGCGTAAGTATTTTCTTTAGTAGATATACGCCGGCTACAAGTTCATGCTTGTTTGAAGATACTTACACAGTTTTATATTTTCAGGGCGTTCTTTTAGGAAATAATGCAAAAAACGTTGTTTACCACAGGACAGTTTTGAAATAGTATAAGCGTGTTTTTTTCTTCTAAACGCAAAATTTTACTTTTAATTTTACTTTGTATTTTTTCGCTATTAAATATTGATTCTCCTACTGTCAAGCGGTAAAAAATATGTCATTGTTCACTTAAAAGCTTTAAAAACAGTCTGCTATCTATAAGCTTCAAGAATCATATAGGAAATTTGATACACATGCAAAGCGAGAAAAAACATAAAAATTTCAGTATTTCGATGTGCGCGGTAATGATTTTTCAGACCTTGAACCCTCCATTTAGAACCATTAAAAAGTACTGTATCACTGTTAAAATTTTATACCGAAGTTCCATCCCAAATCGCAAACTTTATTTCGTACGAAAGTACAAAAAGGCGAAGTGTCGCTAAGAGTAGCATTTTTCAACGTAACCTTTGAAAGAACAAAAAAATTATATAATAAAACATTCAACCAATAGAAATGTATCCATAATTCTCAATAATAACCAATTAATTAACAACACAAAAAAAATAGAATTAATCACAAGAATAGTCCATATTTCCAGCATTTTGTGTCCATCATCAGACCTCGACTTGTAGTTCTGGCTTAACCCTTTCGTCCCTGAATTCAAATACCTTAGTCCAAATAATAAATAGTGTAAAATATTATTGTTAGGATGTCTTAAAATGAGTTTTTATTAATATATATTTTTTTCATTGGTCAGGTAACGGTGGAGGGGGTGGTTCATATATGTACCAGCAGGTATTTATGGTGGTACACATGCGTACCAACAGGTATGAACGGAAAATTCATAAAAACAGAAAAAAACAATGGTATAAGAATATTTATTTAGAAAAAAATACAAAAGCAGCTTTACAAAGAAGAAAATGAACCTAAATAACTATTTGGTATGATACAACATAAAACAGAACTTGCACAATGGAATATTGCACTCCTCGCAAAGAGTTTTGTTCTTGTTTGTTTTTTCTCTTCAGACCATCTAGTGAATCTTCTTCTTGTTGATCCTTCCACAGGAAGATGTAATGCTGATGCACCATATAATTTTCTTTTTCTTGAAGGGGCGCCTTGTTTTGGTAATGGTAAGCTTGTATTTTGCATACCTTCAGATATTAATTCTTCTGCAAGTGTGGTGAAGAAAGAAAGAAAAGAAATATTCTCATTTTTACGTCTCATTTCACCTTTTTCCACCTCTTTGCTGACTTTCGGTCATGATCATATAGTCCAATGAATTGATCTGCCCGATCAACCCCTTGCATTTTTTTTCTGTAAAAAGATATGGCCTCTGGACATTGGATATTTTGTTGTTCACCGGTTTTGCTTTTTTTGATAATTGTTGTCAAATTGGGATTATGACAGTTACTCATCAGCAAAACTTACATTGTGTCCTGCTACTTTACATAAAGTAATCCCGAAGAAGTGCATCTGAATTGAGATTCCCCTTTTTGCAGCTTGTCTCTCATATTTGGTACGATCTTGCGATTGGACATGTAAGTTCCCAAGGCTGCATGGTCTAGTGTAAGTAACAAATTCACACTTGTAAAAAAAGCGATCACACTACATTATTGTCTTTGACTGTAGACGCAAGGGCTGTTACGACTGGCTCTCCCAGAGTTAGTGAATGATTTTTGGCGGGAATTGGGTCCTCTTTTCCAGAATATTCATTAACATCATACGTATAGCCCGAATCTGCATCGCAGCGAAGCCATAGTTTTATGCCCCTCTTGGTTGGTTTGAGGGGCATATATTGTTTCAAAGAAGATCGACCCTTGAATTTGGTCACAGATTCGTCTTTACTTTGATACTGGCTATCCTGGCAACACTTTGTAAATGTGTATTTGAAACAAGATAACAAATCTTCAATTTAATATGTTTTTGAAGCATTTGGGGGTTTCTGAGGAGAAGCAAAGTACATTTTTGAGTCATGCATCGATCTCTTGAAAAAGTTTTTTGAATTGTGCTATTTCCCATTGACTCCTTTTTACTCCAATAATTTTTCAGGCTTGGAAGGCGATTGTAGCACATAATGAACATGCAGCCAATCAACTTCTGTATTTCTCCTTTGTCAGTCATGTTCTCATTCCTCCTTTTTAATTGGTTTATGATTTTTAGGTGTTCATTTGTACAATTTGCAATGTGCAAATATAGAGAATGAGGAAATACTTTATGAAAAATCTGCATAGGTGTCAACTGCTTGGTGATATCTGGAGCCAGCTTACATTCTCTTTCAGGAGGAAGGATTTTAGCAGGTTCAAATGTTTCATCAGGAATGACTCAGTCAAAAACTTGGTTTCTACCAACAGTTACCTGTGGTGAAGGCGCAAAATGGATGTCTGAGTTAGACATATCGGACGTATCATTGCCTGCTTCTTCATCGGAATCTGGTTCATAATTGTCACGGAGTCAGCAGAACATGGTTGCGAATCTGAGATTTCTTCAATATCTTCAATAAGCGCTTCCAGCTCTTTTTGTGCAAGCAGATGGCGGCGATCCATATTGAATCTGAAACTGAATAAACGTAATTAGAGACCTGTTGGTATACATGTGTACCACCATAAATACCGGATGGTACATATATGTACCACATGAATATTACACGCAAAAACACAAAAATAAAACATAGTTTTGACATACCTTTGTAAAAACACTAATTACAGTTGAATAGCAAATAGAACTTCATCAAAAAACTGCATAAATAAGCACTTTGAGTGTCCTCAATAACCAATTTTATTAGAGTAATACTGCCGCTACTACATACACGTGCTAACTAAATCGACATAATCACAAAATATCCACAATGCATGTTGTAGGTACACTGCGGAAGCCTGATACACCAGACCGGTACAGATGTATACCAAATAAAATGCTTCATTTCATAAGCAGGGATTTTTAAATTTGCCTGGTACATATGGGTACCGTTCGGGACGAAAGGGTTAAGCATCTTTTTAAAATTGATAAATGAGTAATTTTGGAATGTAAGAGGCAGATCATTATACAGGGTGGCGCATCTAAAATGAAACAGACGCATTTACTGGCAGCTCAGTTTTTTTTTGGAAAAACGCTCAGACCCGTCGATTTTGTTTTCGAGGGGGATACAAGTTTGGTAAACAATCACGTTAACACGTGAAGCCCCCTAAGCGGGGGTGACACCACCCCCAAAATCTTAAATGGAAAGGGGGGTCGAGTGATACCTTATTTTAAAAGTTTTTCAATTCCCTTTATAATGATATAAAATTAATGTACTTCAGTTCAGTAGTTTTGAAGATTTATTGATTTAAAGCTTAAATAAAACTAATACATCATCATTAGTGATCAATTCATTTGGCAGCAAAGTAATTTAAAAATGAAGAATGAACCGACCCGTTAGGCAAGTAAATGTTGAAAATGGCCACCATGACTCTCCATGCAATATTAAAGATTCACAATTCTTTATCGCAGGTCTTCTAATGATGTTGGCTGAGTAGCATAGATTTTGCTTTTTAAATAACCCCACATAAAGAAATCTAAAGGTGATAAATCTGGCGATCTTGGGGGTCATTCGATGGCACCTCTTCTACCAATCCATCGATCTGGAAACGTCTGATCTAAATATTTTCGTACACGTAATGCGTAATGTTCCTGTTCAACGTATTCGCAATGTACCGCCGATCATTCTGATTTTCAATTATGGCTCTTAATGCAGGATCTATGGCGTCTTCCAGTAATTCCAAATACATTTCACCGGTCAAATTTCCAGGTAAGAAAAAAGGACCAACTAAATGATCGCCAAAAATAAAACCCAAACATCTAATTTTTGTGGCTGCTGTGCATGAACCCCGTGATAAACTCTGGGATTAGAATCGGCAGTTATGACGATTTACTACGCCATTTAAGAAAAAGGAACATTCGTCGGAAAATCAAGTGTTGAATAGAAAATGTTCATCGTTTATAATTCGTTCACTCATATCTTCACAAAATTGTAATCGCCGATCAAAATCGTCTTCATTAAGTTCTTGTACCAGGTGAATCTTATACGGATGAAAACTATGGGCATTTACTAACACCACACACAGTCTCCAATTTGCGGGTACTTAACGTAGGATCTACATAAACTTGCCCTGAAACCCCCACTTCTACTGCTTCGTTCCTTATGGGATTTTCAATGTTGCGTTCCATTGGCGACTGACCCAGTTTCCCGAAATTTAGCTTCAAGTTCTAGAACATATTTTCGATGCACGTTACTGTTCTCATGTCGCTCATTAAATATACTAAGTGACATATAAATCCGAACACCCAGTTTATATGGTTTTATTTTAATAAAACTTTGTATAAGTACTTAATGAAGCATAATAAGTAAATGATAAAAATTTCAAAACGATTGCACTGCTTTAAAGCCCTTTGACCTTTAATAATGTGTGGATGCACAATGATGTGCTACGCATTCTCCAACGCGCCTAGGCATGCTTCTGATCAGGTGTTCAATGTCCTCCTGTGGTATCTCATTCCAGGCAACCACCAACTCCTCTCGAAGTGCTGAGGAGGACGTTGCAAATTGAGCAATCTCCTACCCATCATATCCCATACGTGCTCAATTGGGGATAAGTCGGGAGATCTTGGTGGCCATGGTAACAATGTGACATCATTATGATGAAAGAAGTCTATTGTGACTCTTGCAACATGTGGTCGGGCATTATCTTGTTGGAAAGTTGGATCTGCCAGGGTGTCAAGATAGGGTAAAACATGGGGTTCTAGAACTTTGTGGATATAACGCTGCGCGTTCATGTTACCTCTGATGAAGATTAAAGGTGACCTGGAACCATAAGCTATAGCACCCCAAACCATAACTCCAACAGTGTGATGAACATGTCTTTCAACAAAAAACTGTGGATTCCTGCTTTCACCACGTCGCCTTCTAACCCTGGCACGACCATCGTGCATGCCTAAACAAAATCTAGACTCGTCACTAAAGACAATACTGTTCCATTCCTGATACCAGAGTGACCATTGTCTGCACCACTCAAGGCGATTACGTCGGTGTTCTCGAGTTAAAGGGAGGACCCAGTGTGGCCGGTATGAAAACAAGCCAAAACTTTTCATTCGTCGGTAAACACTTCGCATGTCAATAGGTCTTCCGTGTTCTGCAAACCATTCATTTGCAATGGACCTGGTAGTGGAGAAACGGTCCTTAACGCCAATAATCTTAGGCGGAGATCTTCACGGTCTGTTGTTCTACGGCGGCGTCCAGTGCCCCTTGCTCTTTGCGTACGGCCTTCTCGAAGCCATGCCTGACAACACCTAACCACAGTGTCTACACTTCTTTGCACTCTAACTGCAATTGCCCGAAAAGAAAGTCCAGCTTCCCGAAGTCCCACTATACGGCCCCTATCAAACTCACTAAGTTGACGAAATCGTACAGGTCTCCGTACTCTAGGCATCGTAACCGATCGTAAAGGATGTCAAGAACCAAAATCCGCCAACGTTGATTCTTTACTGCGGCTGAAATATTCATTTTTAGAGCGTTAGTGAATTAAAAAAAAAAGCAGTATAAAAACCGGAATGTCCAACTGATAAGGCTGAAAATTTTTTCACTTGTTATTTACAGTAAGATAAATACATTCGCCAACTTTTATTAAAATAAAACCATTTAAACTGGGTGTTCGGATTTATATGTCACTTAGTATATGTTAGGAGGAGATTGATGGCGACACTCTGCCGCGTTGCCAGTATGTTTCACCAATTCCTTCATCGTTGGTCAGCTTGGCAACACTGCATCTCGTAATTACAAGGCAAGGTTTCCACCTACATGAACATAGATGAGCGATTTTTATCAGTACCCATCTAGCGCTCATTGGAGAGAATCGTCCTGCTTCGAAATGGTTTTCACCTAAGTACACGCAGGCAGTGATAATTTGTATTGCGCAATGAATGGTATTTGTTACATTTTCCGAACGCTCGCTGTATCAATAACTCAGGATGTGTTGATTTAATCATCATCGTTGGAAATCACAGATAATTCTAAAATATTTTTTTTTATAATAATAATAATATTTATTTACTCAATGTACAAAGATAACAAACAATATGAGTAAATAAATATAAAATCAAAACAGGCCCAATAGAAGGCATCGCCTGAACATGGAACAATAATTTAAGTTGAAACTGTAGAATGCAAATGACAAAAAAGGACAAAAATTAGCTATAGTAGATTATGTATTTAGTTGATGTTCGTACTTATGAGTTTATGAATTTCAGTCCTAGATATAGAATGTAGCCACTTTTTTAAATTTCTTTTGAAACAATTTCCGAAACGTAAATCTTTTAAGTCTTTAGGTATAATTTCATAAAATTTTGGCGCTAAATAGAAATATGATCGCTGCATTATAGATTTATGCGGTTGAGGAACTACTGTGCCACGAATTTTGTACCTGGTATAATGATTATGTTTAATTTTTTGGTCGGTGTTTACAAATTTATGGTAGTGAGTGATACTGTGTAAGAAATAAAGCTGTCTTATATCATACATTCGAACATCAGCATATAATTTTTCAGTGGGATAAAGTTTCGGTTTTTTAAATATCATTTTTAGAATACTTTTTTGAAAAACATCTAAATTATAGATATGTGAGGAACATGCAGCTCCCCATGCTAATATACCATATGTGAGATGAGGCTCAATCAGTGCATGGTATAATGTTCGAAGATATTTTTCTGTCAATATATTCCCAAGGTATTTAATTTTGTAGGATACAAATCTAACTTTCTTTAAAATATAATTGACATGGATGTCCCATCGTAAGTGAGGATCCAAGACCACTCCAAGGTATTTTATGTTGGGCACTCTATTAATTTGCATTTTTTGATCATTAATATTGAAGGAGAAATTTGTGTAATTTGGCAGATGTCTAGCATAAGATCCAAATGGTAAAAAATGTGTTTTAGAGTAGTTAATGCTTAATTTTCTACTGTTAAACCACCGAATAATTTTGATAAAATTATTTTCAATTACATTTTTCAGATCAGACCAGTCAGTGCCTTCATATAATATTGCAGTATCATCTGCAAAACTAGTTATTTTGCCAACACAATTAATTTGGAAAATATCATTTAAATATATATTGAATAACAGCGGACCTAAGACAGTTCCTTGTGGGACACCACGCTTAATATACATTTCTTAACTAAATGATCCTGATATCTGCACAGATTGTGGGCGATTTGACAAATAACTTTCGATCAGTGAGTACGCGTTTCCTCTGAAACCAATTCTCTCCAATGCTTCTAATAATAATTTGTGATTAACGGTGTCGAAAGCTTTCTTTAAATCAACAAAAATGCAAATTGGAGGGATTCTGTTATCAATATTTTGATATATTTGATTTAAAATTTTAGTTATTGCGTCCGATGTAGCCTTCCCTTCTGTAAATCCATATTGATTTTCACTTAAAATTTTGAATTTTGTGAGGTATCGAATCATTCTAGTAGATAAAACTTTTTCAAAAACCTTTCCTACACTGGATATTATTGATATTGGTCTATAGTTGTTAACATCTGTTTTTGTTCCTGATTTATGTATCGGTATTATATTACCTTTTTTTAAAATTGAGGGATATATGCCAGATTCAAAGCATTTGTTGATTAGGTAAGTGAGTGGTTCTGTTATGTCCTCGGCTATAATTTTCAAATGCTCGCTTTTAATACCATCGAACCCA